GGATATCCCTTTCAGCAAAGGTACACATAGCCTTAATCAAGCCTCTCTGAGTTCACAGGGTAGTCCCCCTCCCCTCCCACTCCTGTTCAGCCTGCACGTCTTACGCAAGCATTGGCTCACAGATGACAGATATTGCAGGATTGTGTCTGTAGCAGTCTTTGGCGCTGTGGTTTTTAACTGTTTGTTCTCCTAGCAACACTAGAGACTCGTAGGAGATTAGAGACAGAGAGGAAGTGACTAGAAATGCAGAGCCTTGGGAGCTGGCCCATATCCACCTCTCTCTGCATTTGATTTCCTTCTCTCTCTTTTCCATGGACACACGGGTGCTGGGAAAACTATAAAGGTATAAGGTCACCTCTGGCGCAAAATTTCCCAGCTAGAGCTACTTTTAAGTAACAAAATCTTGTATCCAAACACATCCATTCATTAAGAGACATACACGAACAGTCACTCAGATGCCACTGGGTTTGTATCCTTTTCATATAAGCATTTACAATTTTTAAACATTGGCTGTGAGGCTTGGTCTGGCTCTTCGGTTCAAGAAATGCAGTCATTTCAAGGGGCGCGCCCCCGATCTGGGACGTGTGCTCACTGGCAAAGAGGCTGGCTAGAGGCTCCGATCAAACTCCCACCCCACGTACAGAGGGCTCTGGGAAGCTATCGCTTCTTAGGGCTCAGAATGTCATCACCAGCTGCCTTGCTGAGAAATAAGGACGAGTTTCAAGTGTCTGTTAGACTAAGGAGAACAGCGCCAAGGTACAGAGTGCCTGCTGGCCGGGTCATGATCAGATGGCGTCCTCCCTGTGTCACTGATGCAGTGTTTCTTGTGCTTCGCTGCTGTCAGGCTGAGCTCTGGAAAGAAACAAAATCAGCGTGCTTTATATATGAGTATGTATAGAGCCCAGTGCCAGCAAGCCAGCTCAGACTCACAGTGACCTTTATAGAGTTTTGAGACTCTAAATCTTTATGGAGACAGCCTCATCTTTTCCCCATAGAGCAGCTGATAAGTTTGAATCTCTGACCTCGTGGCTAGTAGCCAAAATCTAGCTCAGAGTACCACCAGGGCTCAATATAAATAAATACATATATTTCAGATCTGGGACATGTGCACACTGGCAAAGAGGCTTGGTGGAATCTGTGTGTGTAGACACACACACAGACTTGGTCAAGCCTCTCTATATTCATACACATACATATAGAGAGAGATTTCAAAGAAATGTCTCATGTGGTTGTAGAGGCTGTCAAGTTCCAAATCTGAAATCAGATGTCAGGCTAGAGGCTTTTTGTGACTCACGTAACTACAGGGGCTGATGAACTCAAGATCGACAGGTCAGATGGCAGGCTGCTGGCTGCAGATGCAGATGAATAAGCCAAGGTTGGAGGTAAAAGGGCAGGTGGCTTATTCACAGGCTATGTCATCCTGTAGGTCTGATGTAGGGTACTGTTAGAATAGCTGTATTCTGCACACTTTTCACTGACTTGTGGCCTATGGTTAAGCCGTTCTCAGGCAGTGATAATTAACAAGCGAAGAATCTCTGTGAGGGCCTGTATGGGTTTCTCAGTTCCCCAGATGACTGCCCTGCCACATCTGCTGGGGAGCCACCAACTACACTGCTCAGCTTAGTCACATCTCAGAGACCCCAGGGGAGAGGTTCTGTGCAAAATCCTAACCCCTCCACCTATGACGGCTATACTCCCATTTGGGAATGGCTTTCCTTTGAAAATTCAACTTTTTTTTTTTTCCCGGTATGAAAGAAATTGTTTAAACAAGGGAGAAACAGAGATGGGGAAGAGAAATACCAAGCCGCATGAAGATCCCCCAGGAGCAGCAGCTCAGAAAGTTTCTTGATGCCATTTCTGTGCCATTTCCAGGATTGGTTGTACGTGGTGTGGTTCTTGGCCCTGGCCTTGTCTGCACCGACAACTGCTGCTCCCAAAGCCTGCAGTGAAGTTTGGTGTCAACCTGTTGCACGTGTGGGAAGGTGTGGGTGGAGCCCACCTTCTCAGTCACAACCTAGCCTCAGGGTATCTACCTAGGTTGTGACCTATTTCGGAGACACTGTGGAGAACTGGTCTCTTTATCTTGCCCGTCTTCTCCTTCCCACATGTGGCCTGCCGACCCAAGGAGCGGTAGGCGCCCTGACATGTTCCTGCCAGCCCTAGATCCATGCAGCTCTGCACCTCCTAGCTTCCCCCTTCACCTTCCTAAGCCATCGACTAGTGGCCACGAGTCTGCAAGGGCCTCCAGTAAGCAGCTGACCCAGGGGCTTGAGTTGGACTCGGCTGGGCCACATCCCTGATATAAATTTCTCTTGAAGAGTCTCTCTTGTACATACATGACTATGGCAGTTACATAATCTCCTGTCAACTTGCGAAGGGGTGGAGTCTAACGTGTCAATCAGGTCGCAGATTGATGACCTCATTTTGGAGGTGCAAAGGAGATACATAGCTCACTGGAGGCCCAATACACTCTCTCTGCTTTGACTATCTACTTGATGTTCCTGTTGACGTGACACAGGAGCTACGCTGATAGAGCCAAAGCCCTGGAGCTGGAGAAGCCATGTGGAGACTCCTGCCAGTGCCGAGATGATTCCACTGCCACTGGATCCACAAGACTTTCTACCCACAGGGCTGTGATCTTCCTGCATTCGTTGTCATTGCATGTGTTGCATGAGTCTGAAGAGGAACTTATATATTGGTATCAGACATATGAGCTAGTATCAGACTTAAGGACTTGATCAGGACTGGGCTGGGATGTTTTCTTAATACACAATTACTCTTTGATATAAAAGTTCTTTATTACATATATAGGAGTGTCTCTGGATTTGTTTCTCTAGTCAACCCGGACTAACACAATGACTGTCATTGGTTTTGTCTAGAAAACTCAGCCTGACCCAGTGGTCTTTGATTTTCCAAGTGGATGAGAGAAGTAGGATTCTGGTTTCTCAGCATGAGGCTATTGCATCTGTACTCTTGGGACTTATTCTGGGCAGGCGCTGTGCCAAGGAAGGCAGCTAGGGAGGTAACTAAAACAAGTGACACCATCCGACAAAGGTGCTTCACAACAGCGGGGAGATCCCATTATTTTTTCACTCTATTTTCCTACACACTTTATGAAGCCCCTTAGTATATAATAGAGAGCCCTTCTTACTTAAAAAATTTTTTTTAAAGATCATTTTATTGGGGGTCTTATAATTTTTGTTACAATCCACACATCAATTGTATCAGACATATTTGTACATATATTGCCATCATTCTTTTCTACACACTTTTTATTGAGCCCTTGGGACCAGCTCTTTTTCCCTCCCTCTCCTCCCACCTTCATGGCCCCTTGATCGATTATCAATGGTTATTACTTTCATATCTCACACCAACCGCTGTCTCCCTTCCTCTCTGGTTTCTGTTTCCCCCCCCTGGATGGGGTGCGTGTGGTTATGTGCCATTCATTGCAATCGGTGATCCCCTCCCCTCCTCTCCCCAGCTTCCCCTACCCTTCTTCTTACTCTTTTAAAGAGGGTCCTGAGAGGATCTAGCATCTGAGTCCAGTACCCAGCCTGAAATTAAAAGGCCTCTCCAATGAAACATCCCACACCGGCTGGCTAGACAAGAGCCCTGTACCTAAAAGTTGCATCTGAGAATTTTAAAATTATGGTAAAGTATATGTAGCAACTTATTTGCCATTTCAACAATGCTCACATGATTCAGGGACACCAATTATCCCTGTCATGTTGCTCAACTAGCTCCATTGTCCATTTCCAGATTTTCCCACCATCCTTAACGAAGCTCAATGTCTCCTAAGCAAAGATTTCATGGAAGGGGGAATCACACAGCATTTGTTCATTTTTCACTTATTTCACTCAGTTTGTTTTCAAAATTCACCCATTCCATAGCATAGACCAGGACTCCCTTTATGGCTGAGCAACATCCTATGATATGCATGTACATTTCATTTCTTCATCTATTGATGGACAGTTAGGCTGTTTCCACCTTTGGTGCATGAGATTTTTAATTCCTATTGTTGCTGCTGTTATGTGCTGTTGAATCGATTCCAACTCTGAGAATTACCATTTACAACAGAACCAAGCATTGCCCAGTCCTGCACCACCCTCACAATGTTGCTACGTTTGAGCCCATTATAGCAGCCACAAATCAAATCAATCTGCCATGTGTCCAAGAGCGAGACACAATCTCACCATCCTTGCTTTGCAGCAGCATCTGGATGCATTTCTTCCAAGACAGATAAGCTCATTTCCTGGTAGTTCAAAGTACATTCATTATTCTTTGCCAACCCCATAATTCAAATGCATAGATTCTTCTTTGTTCTTTCTTATTCATTATCCAGCTTTTGTATGCATTATGAGGCTACTGAAAAATACCATGTCAGGACAGTAATATTGAGCTAGACCTTGCTATACTATGCAAAGAAGAAATCAGTACAATTTCGACAAATGGATACACATATACTTTGCCTGAAACAATTAAATCAGAGAAAATAAGCTCAGGCCAGTGTTTCCAGTGAGGGTGGGTCGGCGGACAGAGACCGACTCCGCACACTGACTGATCTCCTCCTGCGTTTCTCTGTCCGCGCTGTCCCGTTTCCCTCCTCCTAGAGCTTCTGCTGGGAACCTCGCACCCCACCACTCTCAGCAACTCTGCGTGAACCTGATCCTTTTTAAAAGGCTGATGTGGTAAGCACAATTTCTACATTAGTTACCATCAACTGCCACCTTTCAGATAAGTCACATCTGGCTGAAAACAACATGATGAATTATCTATCTGCCAAAATGTTTAATGTCAAAGTTGATTAACTTAAAATCATTAAAGTTCTACAAAAAGAAACCAAGCCACCGTGACACCAGAAAATACCTGGCAATTGGTTACGAGTGGGAATTACACTTGTTTATAAGCTTGCAAAGATTAAGATGTACAAGCTTTTATTCCCTCAAAGAAAAAAGCATTCTGTAAAAATACCATCGACACAACTACAAAGGCAAATAAGCAACTGTGTACAAAATAATTTATTACATCATATAGGTTGGCATTATATATACAGTGAAATTCAACAATTAAGAGTCCAATAGATTAGGGTGATGGAAAATCACTTTAATTAGAATTTTTTGTCTAAATAGAATCTCCCTTTTTGAATTTATATTGCCACAAAGGGAAGCATTAATATTGGACATATTTACATAGTTTTGAATGAAACACAAACATATTCAATGATTCCATTGCTGTTTTCTGTATAAGACAGGACAAAAAGCTAGTCCCCCCCCACCCCCCAGCAAACATAAAAATCATTGTTCAACAATACTATCTTTTAGTAGTTAACGATAGTGTAAACTCTCGTTTTGCTGAGGAGTATAGAGATGCATGGCTGTTCAGAGTAAGATGCTTGTTTCACTATCTTTTACATTCGGCCTCTTCTGCTACCTTGAAGTACAACCCTCAGACATAAACTACCTGCTAACACTCAGAGCAGCTTAGTTAAGAGAGCATAATTCCTGCCTGTGAGACTGAAAAGCTATTTAGAGCACGGCAATACATCTACCTGCCAGTTAAGTTCCATGATTGAGAGGTAAAACCAACCCTAACCCGGGGTCACCCAGAAAGTACCGCTGGGACGGAGGCTACAAGGAAGTGGTACATCATGACAAATTAAGGCAGAAAAGTGGGCACTTTAAATTTTAAATAAACCTCAATCATCTGCCATGATGCGTTCTAGATTGTTTTTAACACACAGTTAACAACTTAAAACTAATGGACTTTAAGTAAAAAGCAAGCAACTACAAGCAATCAAACAAAACAGTAAGACAAGGGATCAAATCATGTATCCTGAAACCCAGGCTCCAAAGAAAACAATATCGTGGCACAGCATATAACTTATCTTAATAAGAAATCAATACATTTATAGACGTGACAGCACCTACTGCAGTGTTTGCCATTTGGAAACGTAGGGTAAAACCATACAGGGTAGAAATCGGGGATTTTAACAGACGTTTACAGACACCAACAGGGTCGGGTAAAGAATAAAACAAGCTTACAGAACACTCCGTTGAAAATTTTTATCCAACTATTTCTATCTATATCAGAATGCACCCTGGAAAAAGAAATCCTGACTTCTGGAATTCTGCCTCGGGTCTGGAAGAGCAACCTTCCGTTAGGCTTCACATTTCATTTGCCAAAACATCATAGCGAACAGCTGTGTGGTTGAGCGCTGCGCTCAGACTGTCGGCCTGGCTGGCGGCAGGCAGGAAGGCCGGCGTCAGAGGAAACCGTCGGTGACAGGCCGCTCGGTACTCTTCGTACTGGGGGCGGCACTTCCCAAGGCTGCCGTCCAGCAGGGCCTCAGACACCTTGGTCAAAATCTAGGGGGAAAGGGAGGCATCAAAATGTGTAAAAGCCTAGTCAAGGATCCCTTTAACAGAAAGATGATGCATTTCTTAATACAAGAGAAAGCAACAAGGTTTCAGTCTAAATGAACTGCTTGTCCACAGGAAGTAATCACTTCAAAGTAAGAACACGAAAATTCAACTTTGTTAAAGGCTTAAAACAACAAAATCAGTAGAATGCTTAAAAAGTGGCCTTGGAAAATGCCCTCGTTAATCACACTCACTGAGTGCTTCTGGCTGCGTTCTGTTACTCAGTTAACAACCCTCGGGCAGGAGCAGGGAGGGACCATGCCATCTCCAGGTAGTAACCGGCAGAGCTGAAGTTAAAGTCCAGGCAAAACTGTGAAGGGCCACTTAAGGATTATGTTGGGTTAAATCTTACCTTTACGTTTTTATCTTTTATAGTTTCATCCAGCCTGGTAGCAATAGCAATTGCTTTCTCTTGCCTTGACTTATCCAGAAAATACATCATTTTAGCACCTGAAATATCAAGATATTTTTAAATGAACGATCTCCAATATACTTACGTTTGATCTGATTTAACCGAGCAAACTATTTAAGTCAGTGGTTCTCAACCTTCCTAATGCCGCGACCCTTTAATACAGTTCCTCATGTTGTGATGACCCCCTCCCCAACCATAACATTATTTTCGTTACTACTTCATAACTGTAATTTTGCTACTGTTATGAATCAGGCTAACCCTGTGAAAGGGTCGTTCGACCCCCATAGGGGTTGTGACCCACAGGTTGAGAACCGCTGATTTACTCATGCTTCCAAGTGTTTGATCAGAGATGGACTTGGACCGGCTCCCAAAGCCAACCAAACTGCCAAATGGTTACCAGCCGAGCACTTTATCCACCGTGCCACAGGCACACCTTAGGGACACAGGATAGTATTTATAACACACACAACTCCTCCAAATCAAGGCTTCTACTACCAAAACAGCTGGTGGTTAGGCCTTTCCCAGAAAACCACTGATTTACCAACTTTAGAAATGATCAAGATGTCAATAGGAGCTGCTCCAACAGCACTGACCCCCACAAAGACAAAGATGAAGCTGTAACAAGACCACCTGAGGAACTAACCACTGCCACACGGACAGTGGGAGGGAACAAGACTATATTTTTGTAGTTACAAAGCAAATAAGTCTTTTAAGTTTTTTTAAAATTACATAATGCTTGATTTATACTTTTCCTGTAAATTACCTGCTTCATATTTTATGCTCAATTTTCTATTGGGCTTTTGTGTACACTCTAACAGCTTGTGATGGTTAAAGTTGTCTGTCAACTTTTCTAGGCTGTTATTCTCAGATGTTTGGCAGAAACTATACAAGGGGCTTCAAAAATATTTATGGAAAATTAATGAAAAGATAATGGAGGTGGAGGGGGGTTAATGGGGAGCTGATATCAAGGAGTTCAAAAAGAAAGAGAATGTTTTGAAGAAATTCATTATAATACCAACTGTATAATACAGTTTGATGTGATTGAACTATGGAATGATATAATATCTGTATTACCTCCCAATAAAAAGGTTTTGGATGGATGGATAGATAGGTCTCCAACCTGTTGCCTGGCCCGCAGATCTGGGACATGCCAGCCCCTACAATTAATTGCAAAAGCCATTCCCTCACAGTTTTGTGAGCCATATTTCCTTTCACAAATTTCTGTCTATACACATTTCATTGGTTTTGCTCCTCCAGATAAGCCAGATGGAGCGAGAGTTCTATGTATAAGGAGACTTCAAAAAGCTCACGGGAAATGTGCATTCTGAAAAACCTATGCTTGGATTTCAAAAAAGTTTTGCACAAAAAAAACCTCATACATGTCTGTACAGAATCTGGTTTGAGGCATCACCTTGAAAAGAGCCTCTAGGTATCAGGCATCAAAGAATAAAAAATCATACCATTGTGAAGGAGGGGGAATGCAGATTGGGGACCCAAAGCCCATCTGTAGGCAACTGG